GGCTCTCGATCACCGTGGTATTATTCGGCACTCCGGGCGCGACCGAGTGTCACCGTTAACATGCACAATCCTAGAAACATATTAGCGATTAACGAGACAGCGACGCCGGTGTCGTTCTTCTGAGGGTCACGCGTTAGGTTGTCGCACGCGAAGCCGGAAGCACGTTCCCGAAACGGCGTTTCGCCCAGCTTCGAATCTATTCGCTCTCGTCGATCGATTTCTTTCGACCGCTTCGGTACAGATTTATCCGAGAAAATACCCGCGTTTCGAACGGATTTAATTGGCCGACGCGCGGAATAGCGGGTAAAGACGGTAGATTTTGTGCGAGAGAATTCATTAGTTCGTTCGAGCGATGTAATGTACATGGTACAGTAATGTCTCTCTAATTGACGCTTAGATTGCGCACGAAAATGGACGGTTTGGGAAGAGGAGATGCGATTGTTCGAGCCTTGCGGTTCGCTTTTTATAATTGCCGATTGTCAATAACTATAAAAAGAAGCTGCAAAGCTCGACTAATCGTATCTTCTCTTCCCAAATTGTCCATTTTTGTGCAGAATTTTAATAACATTTAAGTGTTAAAAAGGGCACTTAAGTGTCAAAAAGGCTCGCTTTCTCTCAACGGCATCGATGCGGTAATGTCTCTCCAATTGTCGCCCAAATTGTGCACTAAAATGGACAATTTGGGAAGAGGAGATACGATTGTTCGAGCCTTACGGCTCGCTTTTTATAATTGCCGATTGTCGATAACTATAAAAATAAGCTGCAAGGCTCGAATAATCGTGTCTCCTCTTCCCAAATTGTCACTGTTGGATTTTTACAGGCAACGTAAATAATCGTAACAGAGATCATTTTTATCGAAAACAAAGAAAAGGAAACACACGTAAAACCAACTGATATTACGGGCGATGGTTCGGTAAGCACAACTACACGCCTCGCTCGTCCGCAAGCAACTAAGGAACAAAATTTTTGGCCGTAGGAGCCTCGAGAAAAAAAAAAGGCAACGCAGACAGTAGACAGCCGTCGCACTCTCTCGCCAGATGCGACGCAGCTCATCGTACAATTACCATGTAACACCATAATTAAAAATATTATGTCCCTCGCAGGGACAACCTTCGACAGTCGCTAAGGGAGACGTTACTGTAACTCGATCGTCGAGCGACCGAACGGAGCGCTTTCGAGCGATTCGCGTGCCACAACCTGATCCTGTCGGCGGAGTGACCGCTTCAATCTCTGTAGCAATATTTCTATGTATACATAAACTAATACCTAATCACGTACATTGTAAGCGAGAATCGAGAGAAGAAAATACCTGCAACGAAATATCGGATATACAATTATGTAAGCTGTAACCACGTTTAAGACTGGCGATCGAGGCGAGACCGTTCGGGGGAAAAGGATTCGCACCTGGTTTCGCGGGACTCGTCGAGGATCGTGTCGTCGCTGGCAGCACCGACGGTTTACGTATGCACCGAACAACCCAGTCCATCGGGAATCGGCAATCGTGTCTGCGTCGTTGATCCACGTGTAATCGATCGATTGTTACACCGAACCTCTGAATACAATTATTTCTGTCTACGAGAAGTTTCTTTGTTTCACGGCGGTACCTTGCACACCTCGGATCGCAGAACGGTCTCGGCACTGTTCGGTCATCCGCGCGTTTCGATATCGGATGGATCTCGCGAATGCTCGCGCGGATCTTATCAGTTTTGGAGAAGCAATCACGGCGATAGAGATATAGCTTTGGAATTTAGAAGTATCGAAAGAAAGAAATACTTAGCGCGCTCGGCATTTTGGCAATCCGGGATTCGAACGTCTTTGGAACGTCTTCGGAACGTCTTTGAAACGTCTTTGAAACGTCTTTGGAACGTTTTTGGAACGTCTTTGAAACGTCTTTGAAACATCTTTGGAAGGTCTTTAGAACGTCTTTAGAACGTCTTTGGAACGTCTTTGAAACGTCTTTGAAACGTCTTCGGAACGTCTTCGGAACGTCTTCGGAACGTCTTTGCACACCTTCGTGAACGAATAAAATATACGAGCTTAGAAAAATGAATTCGTGAAAAATAGAACGATCTAGATGCGATGTCGCGCATCGATAAACTTCTTTATCGAACGTTCGCGCCGATACCGCGACGCCACTTCAACGAGGACGGTTGTTACAGCTCGGAAATATTCGAGCACGTTCTTCGATCGTTGATTTAATAAGCCTGCCAACTTCGAAATTTTGTCGATCGAATATCTTGCTCGGAAAAAATAGTTCCCAAACGTCGCTTCGCGGAGGAACGTCCGCCGAAGTTTCTATGAAATCGCAGTGACAAACGATGACGACCACCCAGGTCACGATCGACGCGGCAATCGACGCGTGGAAAATCGCAACAGAAGGACCGAGCGCATCGTCGCTTTTTTCCGGGCCGTTTTGTCGAAAATGTCTTTCGGTTCAGCGAATTCGGTGACGCGTGCGAGGCGCGTCGCTTTGTTTCGAGGCCGGCGAAAGTCATTCCGTGGTCCGGAAATTGATTCGAAAGTATCGATTTGCGCGAGCATCCGCAATCTATCGGCGAGCGTGGCTCGGGGGACGAATTTTGCAATAACAATTCGGACTGCGCGACAATTCGTTCGCGTTCCCCGATCGAGACGCGGCCTTTCCTTGTCGACGCCGTGTTTTCGGAGCCGATTTAACGCGCGAATCGCGCGGCGAAGAATCGCCGGTTCGGTTCGATCGATCCGACGCCGAAAGAAGCTGCTGCGGCCGATTCGCCTAATCGAGCGACGCGAGGACACTCCGGGGCAACGTGGTTTAATTAACGCGCGGATTCGGCCGGAACGTTCGATCGTCGAGCACGATCCTCTCTCTCGAATGCTGGATCGCGTTAATTAATAGACGCGGCTCGATCGACGGAGAGAGCGTTGCCGTCGCGGTTTTTTTTCTCGTTTTTCTTCTTTTTTCTCGAGTCCGAGAACTCGAACGATGACGACAGCGGCGATTGCGTATTTCCGATAACAGCGATTAAGTTTAAACGGGAATTAACGACGGCGGTTCGCGCGATCAGCCGATTGTACTGTAAGAAAAACATAAGTACTATGTAATTAATTGATAAGAGAGACATCTCAAGCTATCCGTACGCATAGCCGATTATTGTATCAGCCTTTTGAGATCATTATTGTTATATTATAAATACGTGTATATATATATACACGTATATATGCGAATATATATACAGGATGTCCCAAAAATGTCTCGCAATCCGAAAGTAGGAGATTCTTGAGGTGATTCGAAGCAACTTTTTCCTCAGCGAATATGCAATCCGCGGCTTCGTTTACGAGTTATTAAGGAAAAACACTGACCAATCAGAGGCGAGATCGTTTGGCGCGAGACGGCCGAGGCAATGAGCGGAACCGGGCTCCGCGCACTTGTTGGCTGGGCCGCCGCGCGCCAGTCGAGCTCGTCTCTTATTGGTCAGTGTTTTTCGTTGATAACTCGTAAACAAAGCCTCGGAGAAAATTTTCGCAAAGAAGAAAGTTGCTTCGAATGACCTCGGGAACCTCTCATTTCCGGATTGCGAGACATTTTTGGGACACCTTGTATATATATAATATATACATGTATATATTATACATATAAATCGATATGAATCATAGATAATAGATTAACGATCGGCGACGACGACGACGATGACGATGATTAAATAAAAAAAGATGGAAGGAATAAACGAGATAATAATATATTGTAGTCATACGATTAACATTATTGAACATTATATTTTATTAATTATTATATATTGTATATATAATAATCGCACGTTATTATATATACCGATATATATGTACGCATTCAAGATATATACATAGACGTACCTATGTAAGTATTGTGTTATATAGAATATATGTTATTACAAATTCATCCAGACTACTGTTCCCTTCCATCGTTTCTTGCGTCCCTCTCGCGTTTCAAGTCACGAAGCATTTAGAACGATTTATTATTAGTAATGTTTTGCATTAGTAATGCTTTCTTCGAATCAAGCCTCTCCAGATTAAAATAGATTCCATTTAAGACCTTACGCAACGCGAAGTCTGTCAGAGTGCGTCGAGAATAATATTAACTTCAACATTTGATGAACGCATCGTTGCGTACACTTTGGTGTTAATACGATAAACACAATACTAACATACAATTCTATTAATAGTTTCTGTTAACAAATTTTCGTTTGGTTTTCTTGCACGATATCGAGATGCGGTAGATTTTCCCGAACGGTTTTGTGCTTCTCGTTTATTTGTTATGTTGTGCATTTGATTCGAAAAGAGCGCCTTTTGCGACAGCGATGCCCCTTACGGCGAAGATTCAAACTAAAATTAAGAGGTCCGTACAGCGCCAATCGGTGCAGCGGCAAAACGCTCAAACTGTTAGCCAAAATCGACCGTCGGTAATTTGGCTAACAGTTTGAGCGTTTTGCCGCTGCACCGATTGGCGCTGTACGGACCTCTTAATTTTAGTTTGAATCTTCGCCGTAAGGGGCATCGCTGTCGCAAAAGGCGCTCTTTTCGAATCGAATGCACGACGTGGCAAATAAACGAGAAGCACAAAACTATTCGGAAGAATCTACGAAAAGTTACAAGAAAATGTCGCTGCATTTCTCGATCTGAAAAATATTTCTATTTGAATTGAGTTTCTTTTTCATCCCTAATAGAAAACGCCGGTAACTCGTATTAATCGAGTAGCTACGCATCTCTAGATAATACCATTTATGTAACGAAATCTGTACGACTTGCTGAATCCGTAAAGTCACGTGACTATCCTAGCCCTTAAAATCTCGATTATTTTTATTCGATACTTTCGACATAAAATGATGCAAGAGAGTCTCCTGAATATTTCTATGGCTTCGAAGTACGTCTTAGTCGTTCAATTTCCCTAACAAGAGAGCGAAAGCATAGTTGATATTCCTATTTAAAGATGCCGCCAGCAAGTCTCCAAATTCCCAACGGTTTAACGCGCGTCCTAGAAATACAACAAAGTGAATAAACAAACGCTTCTCAAAGTTCACGAACGATTTAATTAAATCCACTTGTCGCACGGAGTTGCAAAAACTAATAAAAAAAACTGCGCATTTGCATAAGTAGTACGGACAAAAACACGTTCAGCGATGCTAGCACCGGCGTAAACAAGATAAAGAAACTTTCACGTTGCAATGTTGCATGGTTGCAACTGTAAGTTAAGGTGCAACGTGTACAACACGCAAATGCTTTCTGCGCCGCAGTGTGTTGCCCTAACACAAACACGAACACGTATAATTACGTACCACGTACGATAAGATGCATCGACGATGTGACGTTGTCAGTTGTCATGCCACCGATATAAGGATTATAATTTGTATGCACCCTGCACGAATCGTGCAGTCAGCTTTGTTGATCTAAATGACGCGTTCATGCGATCTTTTCCGCGAGTGATCTGTGCAGCGTGTCGAGTGTAGTGGGATGTTCTCTTCTTGATAATAGTGTCCCGTTTACTTTTAAGGTTATACCATGGGACGAGTAGGTTAAGACGGTTTTAGAAAAAGGAAGAAATCAGTGCCAATGTAAATAGCATTTGGCAACCGACACGTATCCACCGAGTCATGGCCGATGATGCCATCACGCCGCATGTCGCCTCTTATGATTATCTTATGGTGAACGCAGAGAATGCCCAAAACTCTTCCCGTGAAAGACGCATAAAAAAAAGTACAATGCCTTCAGAATTCCGTTTGGTCAGCCGAAGTGACTGGATCACAGTTGGCGTACTATGCTTCGTGAATTTAATCAATTATATGGATCGTTTCACGATCGCTGGTTTGTATATCCGATTAGTAACAAGTATCGGTTGAAGTGTCCAAATTTTAGCCGTTGTTTTACATTTATTTTTTTCATACAACTATTACAGGTATGTTGGACAACATAAAGAACGACTTTAAAATTCGCAATGACGAATCCGGATTGCTGCAAACTGCATTTATTTTAAGCTACATGGTGTTCGCTCCGCTGTTCGGGTACTTGGGAGATCGGTACAACAGAAAGATTATAATGAGCAGTGGTGTGTTCCTATGGTGTTTGACAACATTTATTGGCTCCTATATGAAGGTAAGAATATATTTCTCAGTATAAATATAAGATGAATTCTGCAGATTATCAAACTTATAGCGATATATATGTGTTTATGTTTACAGTCATTTGGATGGTTTCTGATGTTCAGGGCACTAGTAGGTATTGGCGAAGCTAGTTATTCGACCATAGCCCCTACAATAATAAGTGACCTATTTGTTAAAGATATGAGGTCTAAGATGCTGGCAATTTTCTATTTTGCCATACCAGTCGGAAGGTACTTTAATAGCGCATTGTCCCAAGCTAATGATATTGCGAGTTTCAATTCTAATACAGTACATGAAACATACTGAATGTGCATTAATAGGTACATGTAACTTTTAGTGGACTGGGATATATAGCAGGAGGTGAAACTGCAAGAGTTACCGGAGTGTGGCAATGGGGTTTGAGGATCACTCCTGCATTGGGCATAATAGCAATTATTTTATTACTTGTGTTAGTAAGAGACCCTATCAGAGGGGAGAGAGAAGGTGGGGTTCATTTGACGAGCACTGCATGGTCCAGTGACATCAAGGAATTATTAAAAAAGTCAATATTAAATTAATGATGTTACATAAAGTGTTACATTGCAACTGTTAGTTCATGATTTACTATTTTCTCTGATTTCTAGTTCAAGCTTTATGTATTCTACCGCTGGATTTACGTGTGTAGCTTTTGTAACTGGTGCACTGGCATGGTGGGCTCCAACGTTCTTGCAGCTGGCATTCGCATTGCATCCCAATTCGAGTAACGTTGATCCGGACGAGTGAGTTTCTTTTGTTTCGTTTATGATGATTTTATCAAGATCGTTTAATAAATATTACCGTGGCAAATATTTTCAATATTTCAGTGTATCATTCAAATTTGGATTAATAGGCATGGCATCCGGTCTAATAGGAGTACCGTTAGGCTCGTTCATAGCCCAGAAACTAAGGTTGCACTGGGCCCATGCTGATCCACTAATTTGTGCTGTGGGACTTTTGATCAGTGTACCGCTGCTGTTCTTTGCTACTGTTACTGCCAACACAAATGCTGCTCTGTGTTACACGTTAATATTTTTTGGACAGTTATCGTTGAACTTGAATTGGTCTATCGTAGCAGACATACTCCTGGTACGATATCTTCTAACTTCGAAAAATTGCGAACCGAATCACAGTGAATTATTACAACTGATTCCACACACACATTAATTTCTTACAGTATGTGGTGATACCAACGAGGAGATCCACTGCTGAAGCCTTCCAAATACTTATCGCGCATGCCTTTGGGGATGCAGGCAGCCCTTACCTTATTGGTTTGGTAAATATCGCGCATATTTCCTTTTTGTACTCTTGTTATGATAGCACAAGAATTTGTTATTAAATGCAATCGAATCGCACTGTACGATTAGTTGTTCGTACATTGATTAATTGCTTTCAGTTGTCGGAAGGACTGAAAACGGTTCTTCTTCCAAGCTTGGCTGTGGCTCGTACGATGAAGCCGCCACCGATAGATCCATCGATTAATACCCTCGTCGAATTTCGCAGCTTGCAATACGCGTTGTTCATGACGATGTTCGTGGAGATAATCGGAAGCCTGTTCTTCTTTATGACTGCATTGCACATACAGAAAGACAAGGCGATAGTCGATCTCACCATAGCAGGTAAGTGATCCTAAAGACTCGAGAGACCGAAGGACACTCTTGTCTTGGCATCTTATTTGCATGCACGTATGGAAATCGCTATTAATCAGCTTGATGTTTAATACACATGTGTGTACACAAGTTGATACGAGTTCTACAATCTCCTTTGAAATTGTTTCTTTTCAGGCATGGACACATTTTATTACAATCGAAACTAATTTATTGTTTTTATGTTAGAGAAGATAGCAAAAGTAACGTTATCCTTTCAGTACAAAAAAATACTTTAGCTTAGAGAATTATTTCGATAAAAGTTTCTTGAATGCCCAAGCCTGTGTGCCACTGTCTTGTGTCAACAGCTCACATTGCAACGTAGGTATTGCGAGAGTCGTAGTGCACCACCGCTTTAACATGTATATGCACACTATATTAATTGCAAAATAGTTGCCTGATGGATAAAACAGAATCGCGAGATTGTATTCTCCACGGAGAACAAAGCTGCAATATATTCTTTCATTCTGTCGAGGATTGTCACTAATAATTGTTTTAACAATTCTAGATTTTGAATGAACACGAAATAGGAATTTTTGAGCGGTATAACGAGACTTAATTATTTTTACACAGTGCATGAAGTATTCGCAAGTTTGGCGTTAAGTGGACAGAATTTTGGGTCAAAATTAAGGAGGTATCACTATTAATTTTTCCTTAACATGTTAAGCGCCAGGATTTTTTCAACATTACGAAAAATAGTGAAAAAGAAAGGGGTGATGAGAACAAAATTGTCCTATTTATTGTTTCTTCTTTCAGTAACTTGCGGCTCTTAATTTAAATTGGTGCTTAATCTGTTAAAAAAATGTTCATAGCGTGAATAGCGATCGTTCCTAATTGAAACAGATATCGTACATTACTTGAACGCGTGACCACGCGTTTTGTATGAAATTATTTATGAATACATGAGATACTGAAGAACGCATCGAACAGAGTTTATCACTTAAAATTAACATTCGACTTGTTTTATCTTGTATTTTTAATTTTGTGTTCTTTTAGAGTCTTGTATATAATTAGCATTGTAATTATAAAGATAAATCTTGCAAATGATAAACCTTGTATACAGTATATTATTCGACATAGTATTTTAGATGGCCTAATTTGGCGCGTAAGTAGAATGAATTTTGTGTAATAAGCAAACATCTTTCTTGCAGACAAATATCTAGATACTAAGAATAATGGGCAAGCTGAATCAACGCATTTATAAATCGCATCACTGGGCCTTCCCTGATAGTGTGCTGTATACCCGGTACATAATTTATTTTAATGATTTCATATCTATTTTATTTAATCCGATAATCAGTTTAATATTCGTTTCTTGACACTTGCCTCAATAATTGAAATTAACGAAAATATTTACCTCAACTCGAAGCCGTTAACTACCAAAAAGACTGAATAAATCGGACGAGACTCTCCTTGCAATTGAATGTTTATCTTTATTATTTATTCGTAATTTTCAACCGATCGATATTTTCAAACTTATATACATCGATGAAATTAAAATATTAAATATAAAATACTTAAATTGATTATCGCAAAAGCTCGTTGAATTTTCAGTTCTCATTTCCATGTGTTCTCCCTCGTTTTATTATGGAAATTATATATTTCTAACTATACATTTTAATCTCAGTTCGATTGTGGGTTCCTTTTCTAAAGATAAGTAAGAGTTTCCTCTGGCAATTATGTTGATGCTTTGTTAATTAGGCGTACCAATTATGCGTTGTGCACTATATGTCAGTTTAATGTTGAAGTGTTTGCAATCTGTATATACCTTGTGTCACATAAACACTGATGAAGCTTGCCTACTAAATAGAAATTAATGTTCACGAAATGTTCTCCCAACATTTCGCCCATGTACTTGGTACAAAATAGACTTGTTGTTTGCACGCTAATTAGCTGCATGTAAGGCACTATATAGACAATAGTATCTGTTTAACACTAACACTGTAATTTCCACATTTTTTTTTATAGATTACGGTATTGCACTCTTTCTGACATTTCTATTAAAAAAATCTTTGTAATATGCCAAGACTGATCTAGTTTATAGTGTTAATTATAAGGATTACAATTGGGTTCTATCTATTACATTGCATTTGGTAGTGAGATGGTCTCTGATGGAGGATGGTAACCGATGACTACTATTAGATATTTTTTGTTAATGTCGTTCTTAGTGACTGATGTGTGTCTTTTGAGGAGGAGCAATATTGTATGTACACCGATTCATGGAAATATTCGAACATTTAGTTCCATAAACATAAGTTTAATATTATTTAATCCTAGGAGCTACGCGAATGCTTTTTATATAGTACATCGAATGAAATAGCATATATTTTTACAATGTTACGAATATGTAAACGCGTTTAAGAGATATTTTTTTAGTTTATTTTGAAGATTCGAACTTGTATTTTTCTAGAACATACTTTATACTCACATTTGATCGAATATTTTCGACCAGGTATACCGTCGGCTCTCGTTTTCTTTCATTGCGAAAAATCACCGTTTCATAATGAAGATTAAATTTTATTTTAGGTGAAAATACGTCGGATTCGACGTACATATGTAACGAGGAAACGGAAATCGAGGCGCAGGAGGACCAGCAGAAACCATGATTGGGAAATACCTAAGGTATTTTGCCATAACTAATAAACTAAGCAATAGAACGGGCTGCTGTTTTGTTTCTATGAGAAATATTCTTTAACGCGAGAATAGATACGTTCGTAATAAACATCACATCTCAAGTGACACCAGGATTAAACTGTCCTAGATATAAAACAGGCATGGTGGGGACAAAATGAATTTAAACAATGTCATTAATTTCTAACATCTTCGAAGACTCGCTTATTAACACTTTGCTTACTGGTCGCTCAGCGATCTTTTCAAAGATCAAAATTTCTCACCGGAGAATCTATTTTAGTCCGAGATGAGAGGACGTTAAAAAGATCCTAGGCTGCATTTTGAATAAATTTTTAAGGAATAATGAAATACCGAATGAAGCGTTAGAACTGTACCACTTTGTATAATTTCAAAAAAAATCCTTTTGTCATAGTATTCCACACACACAGAAATCTTTGTTCGCATAGGCGTTTAAAATGTTCTTTTCTGTCGACAACACTCTCGTTGAAAAGTCTACCCGGCGTCCGGTAATTGAAGTGTGAAAAATGTACAGAAATTAGTGGGTGTGCGAGGATTCTGGAATGCTGGGCATTTTTTTTAACGACCAGTACGGATTCCCGTAAGTATGGTAAACCCGAGATTCCTGACTTTTAAAAATATTTATGACTTCCGGGTTTTTGGGAACGTGTTCAGGGTTTTCGCGCGCCTAGAAGCAACGCGCTCGTGCTTGCTGGAGGATATATTTAATTAGGTTTAACGTTATTTAATAAGCTATATAATAGTACTTATAAACGCTATATTTTTATAGTAGAGTATCTCTCCAACGAAAATACGTTATTCTTGTGTGGTATGTAAAATAAACATTTCTTGAACGTGTCCTGTAACGATACCGAAACTTTATTATAAACACTTGGTACTTACAGTGAATTCAGGATAACTTGAACTATCTCTACGAGATTTAGTACCGGAATTGCGGATCTTCTGGATCTTTGATCGTACGGCGAGAACTTCGAGCGATTTTCAATGTATACATTTGCGATTTTTTTCGGGACCGGTGCTTCCGGCGTTAACAAGGTAATTGCGTTACGCTATTGCGTCGCTCCCGAAGAATCAGTTCGTTGAATATGAACTTGTTGTACGCCGAGATTGCGTTGGCAGTGTTAATATTTGATGAAGATAAGTCGCGCCTCGGTGTAACTCGTGGACAATGCAAAACACGCGTAAATAGAGCGAGGTGGATCGTCGCAGATAAAACATAGTTTCCAGAGCGCTTTTTACTGCTGCGATCGTTTTTTTTCTTCTTTTTTTGGGGAAGTCGGTGCTGATAAATAAAAGCGCGTCAGTTTTTCCTACTCTCCGAACACGTCGCGTTTCATGAGTGTTTGCAGTGTATTTTCGACAGTGATTGTAGTGCGCTATCGGTGAACAAAATACGAGGAAACGGCCGAATCTAACGAGCTCAATTTTTCTGCAGGTATTTGAGATAGTAGCACGAATTTTTATAAGATATTTCGTTTAAAATTGTGAATGTTGTGTGTTTATTGAATTCTAAGACCTTGTCGCGAGAAATGTGCCCAATCGCGCGCATCCAATCCGGCTATTGTATAAAATAGATCCAATCGATAGATTCTTTTATCAAAATTCATGCTATTACTTCGATCGTTTGTAAACGCATATGTAAAATTTCCGGTTTCTTGGCTCGGTCGTTTTCTTAAAATCAATTCCCTGGGTCGCTCCTTTAAGGGATCATCTTGCGCGTGTGTGTATGTGTGTGGAATTAATTCGTAGGAATTTGTTCCCCCGAGAATAATAAAGTTAAAGAAAAATTTGGAATTTGGTCTCGATTATACAAGCCTTAAAGAGAACGTCAGTATATTTTTCTTTTCAACGAAATGGCTTCTTCGGAGAAGTCCCACAGATGTTCCTAAAAATTTTTGTTCGGTGAAGACCGTATCCTAAAGTTTTCTCTATTCTATCGCAAGAATTGCGAAAAAATCGCGATGATTTCAGCATATACTCGAGCATGCCCTAACCGTGCAGAAGTGTTCTATTATAGATAGAGCCGAGAGGCCGTGGTGGTTCCTGGAAACGCGGAGCAGGCCGAGTATTACTTGAGGATAATTCGCGCGAGTGCAGGCCGTAGGAGCGCGAGCGAAGCTGATTGGCAGATTGCACTTTATAGCCGGCGTGAATAGCTGGATCAATCAAGATCGGCAATTTTCAAATTTTCCCGGCGAGTGCCGGCCGCACCAGTGCGAAAACTGTTTCCGCGGCACCGGAACGCGAGATCGTTTCGCCGATTTTATTACCGCCCTGCAGCCGATCGACGTGTCCGGCGTAAACGCTTTTGATGTTGGAAGTTACATCGTTTCCGGGAACAAGCCGTTAAATCCCTCCTTTCAGGAAGATTCAGCCAGGAAGTTCGACGGGACCTCGTTCACCAGGTAAGACCATGCTCTCGCGCTTTACTACCGCCGCTTCAATTCCATTTCTTTCGACTATATATTTGCTGAGTGACTCTCCACAAAATTATGCGACTGTGAAACGATACGTAGAGATCCTGAGACGAGGATTTCATACGAATATTCTTGCCTTATCCGCAATTTTTTGGCAAATCGTTCGCTCGAATTGCGCCTCGGACTTTGAATTCTATTTAAAATCCAGATTCGAACATCGTTCTCGCGCTTAAATTGTCCATTTATTGCTGCGGTACAGAGTTTATTTGTCCGAATTTTGTATGAAATGCCTGATTTTACTTTAATATCGAGAAGATGCGAGAATAATCTCGAGTCTCGATTCTAGAATGGAAACTTTAAAGCGTTCTTCTTATTCCCTAATTTCATCAATTTTATTTTGTACCGAAATTGATCGAAGTTTGTCGGAGAGGATTCTAGAGCAGAAAGTTTAGTCGATTATTGATCAAACGTATTGTTCGTTCAAAAGATAGGTCGATAGTATTTGTAATAATAGGGTGGTATTCTTGGTCAAGCTGTTAGGTGATTTCGGTGTAACTTGTATTTTGACGTTCGTTTACTTCCCTTCCGATCTCTGACAGATGTCATTCTGTCAGAGATAGATAACCCTTGACCTCTCTGCGTTGTCAGCCGGGTGTTACTCGAGTACCTCCTACCGACAAATATCAACCGGAAACATTCTTTCGCATCGCTGTATCAGTTTTCTGAAAATGATTACAAAACTATTTCACAGGAAAAAATTGAAGGACCGATCCTCTTCTAACAAATTTAGAAAATCAGGTCGTCGTGCCGAATTTATTTCCACGATGTCGATCGTTTCGTAAAATTCAGCGTACCAATGTCTGTTGAACTATGAAAAAGTATTTTTTCCAACCTGGATGAAAATTTATTTTATGGACATAGAAATTGCACATTTTTGACGAAAATCGAGAGAATCTATTAGCATCGAAAAAAAAACCTAGTTAATCGACGCTTTTAGTAAATACTGTAGCATGTTGCGAGGATCTTCGTCTCAGCATCTAAGTGCAAAGTCTCTCAAGACTCCGGTACATTACCCCGGAAAAAAAGAGTCGCAGGTTGGGGGTAAAACTTTGCCGGGGCAAGCCGAACTACGGGGGAACTCGGGAAATTACTTTCTCGCGAACTGCGAACGATCGCTAATTTAATTCCAGAAAATCGTTTCATTCGGCGGCCAAAGAATTCGCGTGGATATCGGTTGTCGCGAATCGAGTTCCGCAACTTTCTCGACCGCGAGTTAAACACGGCGTTGCCTGTGCGAAATGAAGAACGTCGACCATTTTGGTCCCGGCTCGTCGATGAGGATTACCGGTCCAGCGGGGTCCGGCTCGCCTTATATTCCTCTTCATATTGTGCAACTGCTGGTGTTTACGATATACCGGGTGGCAGTTGCCCTTAATTCTAAAATAACACTCGACGAGGCTCTCCACGCAGGAAGACGGTCGATCTGTTTTTTTATCGTCGACCTTACCATCTCGTTTAAACCTTATTCTCTCTTGGCCGCCATTGACGTAGCCAGTAAACCATTTCTAGGTCAGCTCGGATCGGCCTCAGCTTCGCGATAATAATTCTATGATCCCCTTGTGCTTTCCACTTCGTCTATCAACAATTATAATTCGATGGTCGTCACGATGTTCATCAATTTTCTATTTTTTTTTACCGCCAGCGGACCCGCGTATTTTACACGAACGTTCGGTAATTTTATTATATTTTTAATAAAACGAATCTTCCGTTTCGAAAAAGGAATTTTGTCGCTCGTTTCACGCTTCGCAAAATGATTATTGAAAATGCTAAAGAAACATTCCTGGTATATTTAGTTTATTTAAATCGATGTAGACGTCGAAAGCATTCTCCTTGGCTGATTGTCCGAGCTGAATCGCCTCGCGTCAATCGGAGTTTACAGGCGAATCCGTAATTGCGACACGTAAAACAGTTCGTAATGTAATCGTAAAATCGGTACGATGCTTGTAATTACCGTGAACGAATCTTGCCGGGAGGTTCCATCAAATTTGTCCGGGATTGTTGCGCGGTAAATGATTTACGTTGGAATCGTGGCCCCGCGTTTCGACGGACAGCGTCGGGCGATGATGAATTGAGTTATCAATTTTTCCATAAAGCCGCCGGTATCTCTGTCTCGACGCGACGGTAGTATTCTGTCGGATAATATTTTCCACTCGGGCCCGAAGTGACCGGGTCGAAAATCCTTCATCGTTCATCGTGCCGCGTTCATCTTTCTGCTCTCATCTACGCTCTCTAGCAACCGGAGGATCTTTAGGCGAAACAAAAATATCCCGCGTGTTGCTGAGAAAGAAGAAGAACCACTTAAGAATCTCGTCCTTCGATGCTTCGCAGAAGAGATCCTTTTCTTTTTCTTTCTTAGAACGAATGGTTTCTAGAACGGTTTTCTCTGCGAAACGAGATTTGTGACGAAGGGTTCGTTATAAGGTTTAACACTAAACCTACCGCGGTAAAGTGACCGCTTTCTTATTTCGCAATTCTGCAAAGTTCCGAGACTCTTTCGTGGAAAACGCTCGAATAAGTTATATTATTAGAGCAAGTTTTATAATAAAAACTTGACGAATTCCAAATAAATTCGGTCTTCTTACTTNGGTAATTTTATTATATTTTTAATAAAACGAATCTTCCGTTTCGAAAAAGGAATTTTGTCGCTCGTTTCACGCTTCGCAAAATGATTATTGAAAATGCTAAAGAAACATTCCTGGTATATTTAGTTTATTTAAATCGATGTAGACGTCGAAAGCATTCTCCTTGGCTGATTGTCCGAGCTGAATCGCCTCGCGTCAATCGGAGTTTACAGGCGAATCCGTAATTGCGACACGTAAAACAGTTCGTAATGTAATCGTAAAATCGGTACGATGCTTGTAATTACCGTGAACGAATCTTGCCGGGAGGTTCCATCAAATTTGTCCGGGATTGTTGCGCGGTAAATGATTTACGTTGGAATCGTGGCCCCGCGTTTCGACGGACAGCGTCGGGCGATGATGAATTGAGTTATCAATTTTTCCATAAAGCCGCCGGTATCTCTGTCTCGACGCGACGGTAGTATTCTGTCGGATAATATTTTCCACTCGGGCCCGAAGTGACCGGGTCGAAAATCCTTCATCGTTCATCGTGCCGCGTTCATCTTTCTGCTCTCATCTACGCTCTCTAGCAACCGGAGGATCTTTAGGCGAAACAAAAATATCCCGCGTGTTGCTGAGAAAGAAGAAGAACCACTTAAGAATCTCGTCCTTCGATGCTTCGCAGAAGAGATCCTTTTCTTTTTCTTTCTTAGAACGAATGGTTTCTAGAACGGTTTTCTCTGCGAAACGAGATTTGTGACGAAGGGTTCGTTATAAGGTTTAACACTAAACCTACCGCGGTAAAGTGACCGCTTTCTTATTTCGCAATTCTGCAAAGTTCCGAGACTCTTTCGTGGAAAACGCTCGAATAAGTTATATTATTAGAGCAAGTTTTATAATAAAAACTTGACGAATTCCAAATAAATTCGGTCTTCTTACTTTTGTGAAGCGGTACATGCCAGTTAGTATTGCTGCTTGGTAGGTTTAGTGTTAAAGCGAGCAGTAAATGTTGCGCTTTGCGAAGAATTTTTTAAAAATTTGGTCGATATTCGAAGAACAAGCATAAGAAAATTGTTACCGGTACGCGTGTTTTTCGTTAACAAATTCTTATCCTCGCGATCCAAGTAATCGAATAACACGAAAATCCGAAGCAACAATTTATTTATTCGACGGCGTACGAGAGAAGATGTTTGAATGTCTTAATAGCAGGATCAATTGTCAGGAAATTGCGGTGCGCAGTCCCGTGTCTGACCATTGCACACCGTTTCTACTCGCAGAATACATTGTAGGTAATAACTGCGACGCTATCGTCGGCGTTCCATCGATCCCTCGCTATCTTTCATCGGTTTACCTGAGATTGCTATGTAAAGCAAACCACCGTGTACCATCGCCAACGTTTATAGACGTTAACCTAAGTAGAAATTGCCGGCAATGGACAGACACGCGAGCTAAACAACGGCCCTGGCGCAATCTTGCGCGATATATCTTCGACGTCGATTTAATTGTGATCGATGCACCGCATAAAAAATGCAATTCGACTCGTCTTTGCTAGTCCATTCTTTCAGCAAATAAAATGTTTACGGTATAGGAACGGCGATCATTTTTTATTCGATAACCAGCCATCTTCTTTATTCGTCTATTTTCTAGATCAATATAAATAGTGCCTCAAAATTATGGTACTTCCAGGTAATGAGGGGTTCCTGAGATCGTTCGAAGCAACTTTTTCCTTAGCGAAAATGCAATCCGCGGCTTCGTTCGCGAGGTATTAACGAAAAACAGCGACCAATGAGAAGCGTAAACGAAGCCGCACGGATTGCATTTTCGCTAAGGAAAAAGTTGCTTCGAACGACCTTGGAGCCCCTAATTTCCCGGAAATACCATAATCTCGGGAAGCCCTGTATCTTTCGGAGAAACATTTGTCTCGGCGAAAGTTCCGCCGACTAATTATTCACTAATTTTCAAATCGACACCGTTCTCGAAGCGAAACCGTTTCGTCGCATTAAAATTCAAATGAAAATTATTCTCCCGTATAAAATCGCTTTCCGCCAGATTGCAAGAGTAATTATTTTAGTAACACCTCGGTGGGCTAACTTCCGCTGATCGAATAAACGTTTCGAATCCATGGGGAAGGGAATCCATGCCGACTACGCAGATTATCGAGTTTAACGGTCTTTGGTGTTCGGTTCGGATCTCGATAACAGAATCCCCCTCGGAGGAACACCGGCCACCGTGTTGTGCTCATAAAGAGGATAACGAGACGATATCGAGTCCTTTCATTAAAAATCCAGCGACGGCGGAAAAGTAAAAGAAAAATCGGAGAGAGACCGTGCTCTCATTAACCGTACCGCGGCGAGCGAACTTAAAAGTATA